TTAAAAACCAGAGGATTATTTGGTTAATTTTAGGATTTCTATTTCCAATTTTTATTTTTATTTTGGATCTCTTCATTACAGTTTTGGCAATGCATCGGAGTTAAACACTTTTAAATAACAATTATAAATGTCACCCCATAAATAAAAGACTTATTTTATACATGTATATAAACCAAGTCTTTTACATTGCACTGCACACCTCCTCCACTGCCTCTTATCAGACCCAAGGAAAACACATGCCATTATCAGTGAAGGTTGATTCACGTGTGGGGCGACATCTCTAATTGGGACGTGTCAGATTTCAGTAGCATCATTCTGACACTCAGACAGCAACACACACGTTTCCCAAAGCACTATTTACACAGTCATTTGGGGCGAAAACCCAGGCCGGTGTCATGGCTGTGGCCTTTCACACTCTGTCGTAGCCACAGGTCACGTCACGGCGTCAGCAGAAAATCTATTTGGAGACTAATGCAGGAGAATTGGTTCACAGTCGCCTTTTTCTAGACAACGGCTGACATTTACTGTGTAGAACGACGACAAGGTCTGACTATGTTCACTGGACGTTTGGAAACGTCTGATGTCAAGGATTCAAACATATTTAAAAATGTATATAAAAATGTATAAATATAAACAATCTAAAAAAAACAAATGTTTCATTCCTGTTGCAACAGCAAATCATTTTCTTACAGTCCACAGGAAATACTGCCTGCTGTGATTTGCATTGCATCATTGCCAGTCAGGCACAACAGCCCCCGGAGGAGTCAGGCTGTGAGGGGTGACACTGTTCCCCGGAGCTCATCGCTGTTCCACGCCGTTTCCTGACCTAACGCAGCAGCAACACTTCCTGTCTTCCACATCAGTCTCAGGGGAAATTTAGGAGGATCACCAGTCAGACTGACTACCAGAATAAAGTTGGAAAAAAAACAGAACCCCTCAACAAACACCTGGTGTCCTGGTGTCTGATTGGACAATGAGGACAGACGACGATGACTTAAAGATTATTTTGTATAAAACACTGAACTAAACAAACAAAACACAAAGTTGTATAATCATTTTTTTCTTTAAACCTGCAAAATATACCAAATAAAAACCACAATTGTCCCAACAAGGTGCCACAAACCCTATGTTGAAGTTCTGTTCAAAGACGAGGTGAGTGAAAAAATATTTTTCACACAATATTTATGACAGGATGAATCATGTCTATAACCATCGTCCTAAACATTAACTTGAAAAAGGCACTAGTTTTCCAAACAGGAAATGACATCACAATTGCGGTCGTGGAGACTGCTGCCCTGGCGACCCAGTAACGGATAAGCGGACGAAAATGGATGGACGGATGGATATATATATATATATAAAGATATATTTATATATTGTGAATATATTTCCACGGTCTGGTCCCTGCTGCGTCTCACCATCTGTCTAACCACACAAATCATTGCCTCAAAACACTTTCGAGAGGATGATCATTTTTTAACTCATTTTATATAAAGCTAAAGATACTCTTCGACACTCGACACCCACCACAACAGTTTATGACTAATGAACAGATGGGCTCCTGCTCAAGTCAGTTTTTTGGTTTAGGTTTATTCTCTTACAAACATCACATCTTCTTCCTCTCCCTCCCTCTCTTCCTCTCTCCCTCTCTCCCTCTCTCTTTAGCACTGGATGCTAGTTTGCATACTCTTCTATTATTGGCTGTCTGTAAAGTGCCTTTCATCAGACTGCTGTCTGCTGATTGGCTGAAACCACAAGAGGGCACGGACGCTCTTTCAGGCAAACAGGAATAAAAGGCCGTCTGCACTCCCTGGGACCAGAGCAGCATCAGGTAGACACTGGAGCTACAAAGAAGGAGAAAATAGAACTAGGAAGGACGAGAACGAGAACCAGAGACAACTGAAGTGAAGGAGAGGGGGTTTAGACTTCTAGATGTCAGTGGCAAATATTGTCAGATTTTAAGCAGTGACAGAATCTTAAAAAAACCTTGGCCAATAAAACTAAAGCATCATGTCTTTGGAGGTGAAGGAGAAAACCCAGGTGCGTGTAGTTTTTCTGGGGGCAGCAGGAGTGGGCAAGACGGCCCTGATCCGACGCTTCCTCCAAGACACGTTTGAGCCCAAACACAGACGCACAGTGGAAGAGCTGCACATCAAAGAGTACGACATCGGCGGGGTCAAGGTCACCGTGGAGATCTTGGACACGAGCGGCAGCTACTCCTTTCCCGCCATGCGCAAGCTCTCCATCCAGAACAGCGACGCCTTCGCGCTCGTGTACGCCGTGGATGACCCCGAATCACTGGAGGCCGTCAAGAGTCTCCGAGACGAGATCCTGGAGATCAAGGGGGACAAGTACACGCCCATCGTGGTGGTGGGGAACAAAGTGGACCGGGAGGAGGAGCGTCAGGTCTCCGGTGAAGACGTGTTGACGACCGTGGAGCTGGACTGGAACAACAGCTACCTGGAGGCCTCGGCGAAGGAAAACTCCAACGTGGTGGAGGTTTTCAAGGAGCTCCTGCAGCAGGCCAACCTTCCCAGCCGCCTCAGCCCCGCGCTCAGACGTCGCAGGGAGACTTTCCCAAAAGACACCAACTTTCGGCCACCGATGAACAAGACCAACAGTTGTCTTCTGTCTTAGTGGAAGTGGAGATGGAATTAAGGGTGAAGAAGGAGATGAACGGGTGGACATTAGGCTGACGGACGCCCGGTGTTGGTGAAGAGATGACTGATGGTAATGAACGTATATATTTGTGATGAACTGAGCAGCAGAATTGTTCAGACTGAACAGAAAAAGACTGATTCTTGAAGAGGAAGAGGAAAAAGAAGAAGGAGAGCCGTTGTGAAGTCCATGGTCTGTCTGAGGTCGTCTGATGTTTCTGTCGTTTAGATCAATATAAACCTCTAAACTATTCATTTACATCAAGGTTTGAACTGTTTACAGAGAGACGGTGTATACATCTTGTTGTGACTTGTTAAAAAAAATAAATGTTTTTTTTTACTACCCGGAGAATATTATGAAATCTCTCGGTATATAAATGTACATGAATGTGTTGAAACAAAAACAATGAAAACCGGAACTCCAGCACTTTTCATTTCAGACTGTTCCTTTAACTCATAATTGTAATATGTTCTTTTCTATCTTGTTTTTTTTCCCTTTTTTTTATTGCACAGATGGATGAATGTTATCTCACCGTTTATTAAAGTGTATAATTAAAATGTGCTGTTAAATGTATAATAAAAGATTTAAATAAAAAAAGCCGTGCCTTTTATATCATATAAAATCAAAAAATAAAAATAAAATTGAATATAAAAAGAAATAATGAAAAACAAAGATATTTCGGTGCTGCTACAACTGCCAAGTGTTGCTGTATGTAAGTATCATATTACCGAGGCCATGGAATTATTCCATGTGTTTAAATCCAAAAACATCACTGAATAGATTAGAATACTAATATTCTAGTACTAATACAGAATAGTAATAAACTGTTCGATTACTGTAGTAAAACAGATCAGATTTAAGTGTGAGTTTTCATCTCACTGTACTGATTTTTTTTTTCATGGAGTAGAGTTTAGTCCAATGACCGGAAAAAGAACAGGGAACAGGTGACCGTTTGTCTCCAGGCGCACCACCCTGCTGCGTTCTTTGGGCATTTGGCGCTATCTGTTGGTGAGTCAGGGCATTACAATACACTAAGCTCACCGCAGTCCCTGCTCAGCAAAGCACAGCATCCGAACCTTAACCATTAACCAACTAACTACATCTTAAACCTCAAATTAGACAAAGGTTACACACAACAATGAACACAAACATTTTAGAAAAAAAAAGTCCACAAATGACCAGACACAGAGACAGACAGACACAGGGTCACCCAAGTATCTCTAGAGGGAGCCCAAGTACCATCAGTGTTACATGTCCCATAGTTTGGGAACCATCTCTATTTAACTCTTTTTAATGTAGTATCCAGGATATTCATACATTTATATTTAATTGCAAACACATTTTTATCCAAGTGGACATTATTGTTTGCCGTTGTTTGTGTGCTCCACACTAAAAGTGCAAAAAAAAAAGTAAAAAATCAAATGATTAACTTTTTTTTTCAACTACACACTGTACACTGTAAGTTTCCAGGTAGTGAAAGAAAAAAAAAACAGACTAAAATATCTAAAGAACATTTCAGTGGAAATACAAAGACAGCTTACTTTTCAGAGCAGTGTTGTTTTTTTTTCTCTGGTGTGACAAACAATGAAGCTGAAAATCACATCTTTTTTGTATGTTAACTAATGAACAGCACTACTTTTTTTTTTTTGGTCCAATCATTCGAGAAGGGATCAACGTACAGTTCCTAAAACCGTCTGTGCACAGTTCCTCTCAGGCCAACAAGCAGAGAACAGCTGTACGACTCAGGTACAGCTGCCCCATCATTTCCATCAGATTAGACAGAAGTTTCCTGTTTTATTTTGAGGAAGTGGCCCAGTTAACGTTTACAGGCAGTTCCTCTTTCAGTCCGCATTTAAAACATCTCAGTTCAACGCTACTCTCATTTATTGGTGAAGCGACGGAGGCGAAGCTGTCAGGTGTGTGGATCTGAGAGCTCAACGCGGACTTCTACTGAACGTGGGGTGAGAAAAGTCATCAGAACAGGCATTAAAAACTCAGGCGGACACAGACCAGACATTTAGGATCTAGTGTACGCTAAAATGTCTCTGTTGTCTCTGCCCCTTGACTTGGTCAAAGCTCCTCAGCAGATTAAAGCAACTCTGAGGCGTTTAGAACAAGTTCAGGGTCCTGGACAAAGCCCACCTAAATCTGTTCAGCACGGAGTGTAGATCAGAGTCTTACTAATCTGTGCCTTGTTCCTTTTTTTTGTCTCGCTTCATCATGGTGGCTGCTCTGACTTAAACTTTAATAGTTGTTGTTCAAGTGTGACTTTTTTAAAACCAAATAGATTTTTACCTATTTGACAACAGGAAGTGACTGTTAAAAAGTATTACACTGTAATATGGTGGAAGGTTTAAATGTTACAAGTTTTTTTCTACCAACCTTCACATGCTAACCACCAAGTCTCCACAGCCAGTTTTCATTCATTTTAATGATTCATTTACTTTTCCTGTTCAGGGCTGTCGGTGCAGAACGCTGGAGCCAATCAGTGCTCAGACATCAGGCAAAGAAGGGGAACAATTTCAAGAGCAAAAATATTTTTTTAATTGACACTTCTATTCAACTAAAAAAAAAAAAAAAAGATATCTCAGTTCATCAATTTATTGATGAACTGAGATACCTTTTTTTTTTTTTTCAAATGTTCCTGCTTCTATACACTGGCACAGATCATTAGATGAGCAAATCCAGCACATTTTTGTTTCCTTTAAAGATTAATTATTGTTTGTAAAGTCTTGAAATATTAATTTTTTTTTATGATGTTCAAAACAAAAACAAAACTGAATAGTTTGTAGTGAACATCACACTCTGGTGTGGGCCCCCAGTTAAATGACAGCAACAGCAGTGACCTTCAATTCATTTGAGTTTGAGAGCCCTGTTCTGACCAGTTATTGATTTTCATTTTCTTTCCGACTTTGCCATGGTTCATGGAACAAACAACTTAGACCTTAGTGAAACTACCACCGAAAGCTAAGGTTTTATTTCAGCTTCAGTGGAAAAATGCAAACCACGCAGAGCCTTTGCATTTCCAGTATATGTATGTATATATAAATAAATATATATATATATATATATATATTTATATATACCTATAACTAGGTTATATGCAAGCTTGAAGGTCATAAAAAAGAACATCACCCACTGTGTAACTGTTTTATTTGTAATAAGTAACACAAGTTGCATTGTTTTATAAATGGTGGGAGTACACACTGAGTACACGTCCCCACTGTAACATTAGAGGAAGTTCAGCTTATATTGTTTCATATGTAACATACACTGTAGCCAATACAGAAGGTTCATCCACCAGCAAAACAGTACAACTATTCAGCAGATAATACTACAGCCTGGACACTTGGTCCCGTCTGTGTGAGCTCGGTCACCTGTTTGCAGGAAAGCGATGGCAACAGCGAGGCCGCCTCAGTCGTCCACTGCAATGTTGCGGAACAGGTAAGCCATGGACTCGCCGTTGTGGATGCGGCGAATGGCCTCGGCGAGGATCATGCTGACGTCCACGGTTTTGATTTTTGGACACTGCAGCTTCTGAACCTCGTGAGGAACAGTGTTGGTCACCACCACCTGTGACGCACGACAGAACAGTTTCACCTGGTGCTATCAAAACAGAACTGTCGACTGAATAAAATAGAACAAACTGAGGTTCAGGAATAAATACAAAAATACTACAAAGTTACACTTGTGTTGTGTGTTTTCTAACAATGACTGTTTAAGTGTCTTGTAGGAAACTCCCATTTTAATCATGACAACTGACAGAAAAATGGCATGTTATTTGATCTCAGAGCTGATAAGCAACACCTCAAAATAGAGCCACAGAAAAAACAGAAAAAGGAAATAGAAAAAAAAAAACACCGACAGTTGCCAGGACACTAAACCCAGAGTTTTTTTTCACCTCATCTATTGCTGACTCCTCGATTAATCTCGGTGCCTCTGCAGAGAGCAGACCGTGCGTAGCCATGATGTAGATCTTATAGGCCCCTCTCTCCTTCAGGATTTCTGCTGCTGCAACAAACTCACTCACATCGTCTATCATGTCATCCTGACAAAATAAACAGGGGATCAAAAGTTAACAAAGGGTTAAAAAAAATAAAATAAATCTACCAACCAATAAACTATGAATATAAATGAAAAAAAAAATAAAAATACAGTTTAAATAATGCATTCATGTATGATGTGGAGATTGGGCTGAACTTTGAACCGTAGGATGATAAAATAACTGTGTGAGCTCCAGATCTTACAACAATGATGGCAATCCTCCCTCCCACGTCTCCGACAACCGTGATAGGTGGCTTCTCCTTTGCCATCATCACTGAAAGACAAGGAGCATTCATTTAGGAGAGTGGGGTGGGGACATCACATGAACCTGCTCCAACCATCGGAGTAAGGTTCCAATACAGGAGGTTAAGAAATGATAACCATGCAGGACAGGTCAACACCCAGGTCAACAGGTCAACACCAACACGTCTCCAGCTCCCACACAACACCAGTCCATCGAGTTAACAACATGATGCGCATCTGCTGAGTTATACACATGTTATACTTAAAGGTTCAGTGTGTAAAGGTGTGTGACATATAATCAACAATGAACCTGCACTGAATTAAAAAGAAAGAAAAATTTAAAGAACTCCAGTATCAACAGTGGTTCAGTGTTTGATTCCACTCTAAGAGAGACAACTTTCTGTCAATATAAAATAAAGTCTCATTATTATACTATATAATAATAATAATAATGATATAGACGTAAAAAGATGCAGAGGAAAATGGCCGAACTGCTCAGGGCAGAAAGAAACCGCTGAATATTTGAGTGATCTTTTGAAGCCCTTTGAGCAACACTGTATTACAAACTGCCGACTGTTGGGAAACACGCAGTTGCCTAAAACTGTTCCCCGAGACAAATGCAAAAAAACAAACACAAAGCAATACATTTAGTGCAGAAACATTGTCAAGATTTCTAAAGATTTTTAACCTTTTTTGTTACACTTTCTAGAAAGTCACACAGTCTGGAATTGTAGATTTACAAATGTCACACAATGAACCTTTAAGAAACGTCTTATCTGTGTAACTGATAAAATCTCATCACAAACCAGGATCAACTATTATTTGAAATAACATTTTCATAAGATGTAAAGCATTCTCTCACTGTAGTAGACCTCAGTCCCTATGTTGAAACACTATTGCAGTTTGACCCAATTGATTTGTTCAAATGTTAATAATTTTTTATTTAAAACTATTTATATTCAGACACCAGGTGTAATTTTACCACGCTACAGGTTAAACACATCCAGATTTTTTTTTTAAAGTACTAAAATATACTTATACATACATATACTGTATGTATTTATAAATACCTGAAGCAGGTGGAACTACAACAGATAATAATTGATCCATGTCTGAGCTGTAGGGTTCCCCCACACAAACCACGGAGTAACTCTTTTTCACACAATAAAGTGCAAAGCCAGTCTGTCAACAAATGTAAAGAAACATTCAGTAGAACCCAATAAAATATAAACATATCTTTGATCAAGAACTTTTTTTTTTAATTAAGGGTGATATTTGATATTCACATTTAAGGAATATATTTACTTACCCAATTATTAAAATAAGGCAATATGTATCACACCCTACATTCTTAATGGTGGTATTTATTTAGCCCCTTGCATTCATAGGGTCTTTAGGCACAATGGAAAAAATGGAATAAAATCCTTTTAATTATAGATTTTTTTTTTTCATTTTACAAGAGCTGAAAATCAATCATGAGAGACAGAGACAGAGTGCTTCCAGAAATGACCTTGGGTAAGAGATACCTCCAGTTGAACCACTGTTGGTTTAAGTTTTTGTTTTAGTTTTCCAAGTGTAAAAGCACTCCGTTTCCCATCTTCCACTCCGTGCAAGCAAGAGTAAACAATCAGCGAGAAACACGGACAGATTCAAGCAACATAATCATACTTGGGAGCTCTATGCCAGGGAATAGGGCATGAGGTCTGGTACTGGCTGTGGTAAAAGATACGGTGGCACATGTGGTTAGCTTTTCAAACACAGACAGGATTTTTGTGATGATATTCATGTCAAGATGAGAGTCTATTACCACCGAACACAACCTCTGAAAGTGTCCTGAGAAAAAATACAAAAATAAAATACACGCCTTTGTTTACACTTACACGGCAGCTCCAGGCCAGTGTGTCCTGAAGTGGTGCGGCTCAAAGGGGGCGAGTGTCGACCATCGGTCATGTCTGACTCTGAATGATGTGCCTCCCCGTGCAGCACGGCCAGTCCGAGCCGCAGCCTCTCAGCGTAGGACTGGGCTCTGAATAAACACAGACAAATATAGCTGAAAAATGTGGGGTGTGGACAAACAATCGACACAATAACAGTGTTGCAGATGTGATGTGTTTGGACTGTGTTAGTTACTCAGCAGAAACTAAAGCCCAATAAATATATAGTGGACATTCAACAGGTCACACAAACAAATATTGGAACATAAAACACGGTTCTTTCACAGCAGCGACTGTGTGTGTTTGAGGGAGTAAGTGAGCACAAGGTCCAGCAAACTGCAAAAAAATAAAAATAAATGCAACAACTTGCATAGAAAGCACCGTGCTTAAAACACATTACCTGCTATCTGTTTGAGTCATGCTGTAAAATCCTCATTAAAATGTCATTATGTTTTGTCAAATTGGCACTTACCCAATGTCACATTGTCACTGCTAGTTATTAATGTGTCTCCGTATCCCTAGGACAGCAAAGACAATCAAAAAACAAAGCCGGTCTTGCTATCTCTATTTGCACAGTGCTACAAGAGAATTTTAACTAAATGTTTATGTTGTTATTTTCACTGTTGAAAGAGTAAATCCTTACTTTTTAAAGAACACATCAATGCTTTTTATAACTGGTGTTTAAAAAGTGTGTAAAATAACTTTCCCCCCGAGGAATACAACGGCTCTACAGGTAAATGAAAACAAAATAAGGTTGCACTAACAACCTACACGCCTACATTATTACCTACAACATTACAAATAAACAGATCCAAGTGTGAACTCCACAGTAACCAGACTCTAAACATGTCTCACCTCTTGGCAGCTGATGGGGATTTTGCAACAATTACAGCATTCCTGTAGTCTGGAATCTGTGGGGAAAGAAATCTTCTCAGTGTTGGAACTTAATCAACACTAATCTAATGAAGGAGTTCAGGTTAAATCAACACTTTAACAATGTTAGTTTACAACAATGTTCCCCTGTAAATATAAAGCTTTGACCTTTGTGACATTGTTTCTCTTTGACAGCGGGGTAAATGTGTCCTCACCTCTTCTTGGATGTACTGGATTAGGAAAGGCGAGGCTCTCAGGTTGTCGACGGGGAAACTGAAGAAGCCCTGGATTTCTTTTTGATGGAGGTCCATGGTGATGATGTGTGTTAGTCCTGCAACAAATAAAAGGGAAAAACTAAGTATGGAATCAGAAGAAGTTGAATTTAAAACACTGAATGTCAAAACTAAGATGTTTATATGTTAGAATAAATACGTTGCCGGAGAAATTGGGGGTCTCAAACTCAACTGAGTAGGGGACCACCGTTGCCCTGCTATCTCATTGAAGAGCTAGCAGGGGGTGAGATTACATTATAATGACATACAGTAGTTGTGGGCCACATGTGGGTGGCTTGCTGGCCGCTTTTGGCCTACAGGCCAGGAGTTTGAAACCAATGCTAAAGAGTAATGCATTATCAATGATGCTGCAAAAAACCAAAACAATTCCGTCTATTAAAACTCCACTGTAGTGTGAATCATTTCAAACAAACAGATGAGAAATCAATGAAAATTTAATTTTTCAAGCAGCCCGTACCAGCTTTAGCCAACATAGATGAAAGCAGCTTGCAGACAATGGATCCTCTCTTCCTCATCTTACACTGTTTACTGTACGGAAAGTAGGGAATGACGCCAATGATGTTCTTGGCACAGGAGGTTTTCAAGGCATAAGCCATAACCAGAAGTTCCATGATTGCAGTGTTCACATCTCTAGAATAGAAAATGGGAAAAAATATTAACCCATCGCCATTTTTAGATACATCATCTACAAAAGCACTTCATGTTAGGTACAGTTATGTTTTTTAATATATATATTCTTATCAGTATTTTCTTTTATCAATTACTAGATATTTCAGGTAACCCCATTTGAATTCCAGGCGACCCCAAGGAAAAAAACACTGATCTGTGGTATGTTGGTAATACCATAGGTAATCAGGTCGCAAGAATAAAACTAAAATAAAATTATTACAAACATAAATAAAAGTGGTTTTTAAGACCAAACACATGACAAAAGTTTAAACAAACCTTTATCTGATTATCAGGGACATTGTGCTCAGCCACAGCAGCGTCACAACACACAGAGCAGTCGGTGTAAAAAGATACTTAACGTAGCCACTCTGGCCTTGAAACCAGAGAGGCCACACAGGTGGATCAGTGTCCTGCCAGATATGCTTATACTAATGAGAGTCAAAATCTGATGCCCTCGACGATGACCTGCAAAATTGTCAAATTAAGTCTCTCTTTCTTGGCGTAACCAACTGACTGACTTTGGAGTTGCATTTGCTACCATTCCAAAGCAAAAGGCAGAAGGAACTCAATGCTGTCAGACCTTTAGCTGAACATCATGAAAACCAGAGGAACACAAATGTTGAGACTTGTCTCAGTCGACAGCAGTGAAATGACATGAAAGGTTTGGCAGCAGCGTGGCATGTAATTGCAGCCATAAAAGATACCTGTTCTGTCACAGGCTCACGTGTGCACATCAGCAAACATACCAGCAGTCGTACAAACACCACTGTTTTAGTGTTGTGTTGCCATGAGGTGACGGCAAGACGCCTTTATTTCTCTCCTGTCTCACCTGGGAATGGTCAGTATGATGAAGATGTCTTGTCCACGAACAGACTCTTTCACATCAACCCTGGTCTCTGAGAAATATAATAATGAAAAAATACAAGTCATGTTAAAACAGCCAGAACCTCAAAAAAACGGTCTGAATGCATGGCATTAAAAATAAAAATCAAACTTTTTTTTTTTTTGCATTACTTTAAGTTGTCTTCAGAGGGACCTTCAAAATTAAAGACATGTATTCACGGTTGTTTAAATCTGTGTGGATCACTCAGTGTGGGCAGTATGTGTGAAATACTTAAAGGAACTTTTGCAGCCTTACCTGAATTTGACTCTTGATAAACCACCGACTTGCCCAATTCCACACCTAGGCGTCTGGGAGTAGAAAACACAAACATGTAACTCCACCTGTTTTTCTAGAGGTTGTGATTGGGCTGGCTGTTGTTTGTTTTATCAAGATTGACAGATAGACAGAGAGCATTATGAATGTATTTAAGCCACTGGCAGAAAATCATGCTTTGTGTTTATGTATAGTCTGACAGCTACTAGCCAGTGACAAAAGGTGACACAGGTGTTCCATTAACAAGCAGGACAGACGAACTACAGTTTGTATTTTAATGACATAACATGATAATGCTGTCAGGGTTTTTTTCTGTTTAATCCTATCTGAACAACATCTTTAGATAGAGAAAAATAAAAAAAATTATGATACACAATATTACTGCACCCAGTGCAGTTACCACATGTTCAAATGTAATATTTGGCATTGATTGGGTGTAGTATTTTCTGTTGGCTCTTGTTCACCTTTGGCCCAGAATGCCCACAGCTTCGGAAGGAAACATAATCTCCTCGATAATAATTGAAACAATAAGAACTGTGAGAGCCCAGCACCTGATAACTCTAACGACATTGCAAGTTGGCAACTTGGCTGCCTGTAATTTCAAAGCTAACAGAGCTAACACGGTGGCAGGCTGTGGTTTGACAGTCTCTATGAAAGCCTATATGCCAGGACATGCATGAGTGTTTTCATTGACTTTAAAATGTTAAACTGTGAATACGTGAGTGTTCTTCAGGTCCTCCAAGGTGACGCTTGGATTTTCCAAACAACCTCTATTCAATGCATGAATCGCTTCTAATTAAAAAAAAAAAAAAACGAAAGCAAGGCTAACAACTAACAAAGCCAAAAGTAAACACCACATCAGGCAGCAGTGCTCACTGCACAGATCCTGTGCCTGTATAGTTTGTTCCTTTCATCACACTGATTCATCGAGACAGGTCCTTGGAACATCTGACCCCACCCCACAAAATATAAAAAAACAAAACAAGACATTTGCGATAAACCAATTCAAATAAAAATTGTAATGTTCAGTAAAGAGACAAGTCTGTTTTCAGGCTGGTTCTAGAGAAGTTGAGTACCAATAACAACTTGGGGAAAAAAAGTTGAAATAACTGATGTCACCAGTCAGTGTGTTTGTGTGCTCGTTTGTGAAGCATTGTGGGGACCAAGGTCCAAAAATACCACTGTGAGGACATTTTGACCTTGTGAAGATTTTTTTTTATGAGATTAAAGACCAGATCGTTAAAGTTTGGTTATGGATAAAGGTATTTTTGATAAGTATACTTTTTTGATAAGTTTGGATAAAGTAACCAGTCAAGCTTTGTCAGTGTACATACACAATTAAACACCTCCTGTAACCTGACCCTGTTATTCTAAAATGTCATCACAAACAAAGACCGACACATAGTTTTGAAAAAGGAAAACTGGACTTACTCCGTTATCTTCCTGGCCAACTCGGTGCAGGCGACGCTGGAATTGGCAGAAAAAACACGGTAGCCACTTCTGGAAACGTTCATTTTGGGATAACCATACGACAATTTCGGTGTTTGAGAGACTAAAGATCTGTGACCCCCAAAACGCCTAATAGGCATGTTGCATATGGAAGCAACGTGGATATTGGTTAGGACCCCTATACAAAATAGCGCCTTTTGTTTAAACCGTTTAAGTTATCACGTTGAAAATAAAGCTCTTGGTGGAATGTTCACCACATAGAGTTCAACCTCTGACTGTGTAACACTAAACTGAAAACACACTTAAAATCGAAAAGAAGGGCAAACGCTCCGCCTAAAACGTGGGAGTAACTTAAGCGCTGGAGATGTTAGCCAGTCACAAACAACCTAACCTCTCGACAAGTAACCCTGAAAACAGCCGTGACTGAGCTTCACTTTTGTTTACACGAGTTTCTCCACTATCTTCTGAACATACGCGTTTTCTGTGACCCGGAGGACGACTTTAAAGTGAACAAATGTGTAAACTGTAAAGTTCTCAGTTTAGCAATGCGGTTCAGTGAGGGCAACAGGAAAAAAAAATGTCACAAGCACACGTTCACTGGAAAAGTAGGCGCGGCCTATACTGCCACCAATCAGAGACTGGATAGAAACTAAGGGGGGGCGAGTGAAATCCGTTTTGACCAATCGCTGGCCATAATTTGTGTTTCGTCAACGTCAAGCGCAACGATTAACGTCGCGAGTCAGTTGACTTCACTGAATTCAAAATACACCAAGAAGAGGAAGTTATTAACACAGGTGAAGTGAATAAAGAAAACAGCTCAAACATGTTCGTGTCTGTGTAAATGGGTAACATGACAGAGTCGAGTCATTGACCGAGGCAAATAAGTTAAACAGGCACTCTTTGAATCTTTCAAATAAGACAAGTCAAGTTAAACAGGCACTCTTTGAATCTTTCCTTCCTTTTTCTGTAGTTGTTTATTCCTTTATTTAGTTGGAAACAGTAAAGTTTAGTAGACAGTGCAATTATGATAAACAGTAAGTGACTAATTCATCTTGTACTAGTTAGGTCCTTGGTCACGTGTGTCAAAATACAACAAAACAACAACACAGAGAATCATAACAGTGAGCTACAATATTTTACGAATATAACGATTCCACGGTGTCATTCTAAATACCATCCACAATCCGTAAAAATCCAGCAAAGCTTTCAGAACACAGGGCACACATCAACTTAAACAATATACACAGGAAAGGTGAACATACTACACATAATTATGATTTCTATTATTATTATTACTCATTATTACTTATCAACATTTACCTTTTCTTTCACGTGGTTAACCAGGCAGTAAGCCATAGCTCACCGCGCCGCCTTGTGGTGCAGTGAGATAATGCAGAGAAGAAGATTATTGCTCAGTATTGTTCATCTCTGGGAATCCAAAGTGAACAGAAGTTATTCATTCTAAACTATAGTGTAACCACATACAAAAATTGACATATTATGTTGTGATCCTGCTTTTATGGTTTTTTATTTACATGAGTAAAAGTACATGATAAAATACTGTGATTATCTTGACCCTCAATAATACTGTCAGCCATTAGTGTTTTGACATTTCATTAGGTTTTTCACTTCCTTGTTTCTTTTCCATTTTCAACAGTCAGCTGTACAGATGTGTAAATTAATGGGGTGGTTTTTGTTTTAGAAAAATAATAATAATTGCACTAAATATCAGCAGGTTTTGTCTCTCAATTTTTCAACACCTTCTCTTTCAACAGGTCCAAGATGACCTGCCTCTCTTGGCTTTCCAGTTCAAATCTACATTCCCTGTCTTTTCTGTCTGCTTCCAGACGCTCCCTCTCCAAACTGATTTTACCTGAAAAAGGAACAGAGATTACTGACCTGTGCCACAATCAAAGAACTACATGTGCAGCTGTTTGTTTCATTGCAGAATATGTTCTTTATAAATATACTTCACAGCATGTGATGTGTGTAGTGTTTTTTTCTGTTACTAAATTGAATTCTCATTCAAATATGGACAGAAATCACCAAATTTACCAAAATTGATAGTGCTATTGTTGCTAGTTTTACAGCCTAACGATAAAAAAACCTACTCCTCTGAATTTCTAGTTCCTCTCGGCGAAGGGCCAGTTCCTCCTCCCGCAATCGTTGCTCTGCCTCTGAACGCTTCTCCAGAAAGCTGAGGATTTCTGAGTACGTCTGGCAGCAGCACTGGCACGGCCGTTTGGCTGTTGGTGCGGCCGACAACTCAGGTATTTCCTCATGATCCTCCTCTGGTTCTGTAAGAATCGTTATTGATTTTTTCTCCGATAATGAAAACCCGATAACACATTGCCTGGGTTTCGCCAAAAGATGTGTGCCCCAAAAATAGTTTTGGGGAAAAATGACTGTATATTCAGGTGAAAGTCATCAGATGGCAGCATTGCAGCTCATGTCATTAATCTATATTAATAATCAGGGGATTATATGCAGAATGCTGGTGCTTTACTAGGCCTATATCGGTATCGGTCGATATCGGAATCAGAAATTGGACAATATCGATTTGTCTTCAGTGGAAAATTTGTACTCTAGTACTAATATGCATTATACCTTTAACATTGTGTCAAAACATTTTGACTTAAATTTAACGATTTTAGGACACAACTTTACAACTTAGTGGTTCAGTGTTTTTTTACCTGCTGTGTGTGTGATAGTGATGTTGGGTTTGTCTTGTTCTGGTAGTAATTCTTCCATCGCTCTCTTCCTTAGCTCGTCTTCCTGGTCAGAAAAGAGGACAAAAATATTTCTTCAACCACGGAATAACAGACTCCACACTATGCTGTAGCAGTAGACACTGTAGAAGGAATTGGTGAAAATTGTAGATCAGTGTGAATCTAGGTTTGTTGAACTGTGCCATATCATTATAAACTGCTAAAATTGTCTCTGTATGTACGTATATCCTGTCCGCAAAGGTGGGTTGAACTACTGTGGGTAAAATTCAGTTTACTCTAAAAGGTCTGTGATAACATCTGAAAGTCCATTTGCCTTGCACTCAACATTTATCCTGGTATTCTAGTGACAGTTTTTCAAATTTAGGAATTGAAAAATCTATATGATGACAGTCCCACCACTCATAGTAGTCATGGAAATCTCTTTTCTCTGTTACAGGAAACACTCACGTCCACCTGATATTTGGAGCCTTCACTGCTGACCAGCAGCCCCTTCTCAGCCTCCAGCTCTAAAACCTCGTGGAGCAGATCCTCCTTCTGGGCATACAACCTCTCTGTTCCAAACCTGGAAACATCCGGAAACAAGAACACGTACTGGATCAACACCCCAACATGTTTACTTCAGCGTCCCCCAGACCTAGCCTTGTCCGTACCGACCTTCGCAGGCTGGAAAAGTCTTGTTTCTTGTAGTAGTCCAGCAGCAGCATGGTTCTCTCCCGACACCTCCTGGCGTCCACCTCAAAGTTCTCATCCTGCAGGGCAGCTGTGATAATTTCCCCCACACGAGCCCAGACCCTCCCTGAAATACAACACTGTGTGTGACGTTCACATGTCGGCCATTATGAACAGAGGTGAACTAGACAAGTGGTGGCCAGAGAGACGAAGGTTAGGACACTTGAAACTTGAAATTATTTCTATATCTGATGGTTAGGACTGAAACTTGAAATTATTTCTATATCTGACTATTTATTTTTGATAAGAAAACTCATTCTTTATCTATAAAATTAATGGAAATTGTAAAAATCTTAAATGGTTTCTGCAAAACCATTAGTCATAAAAGTTTAAACCATTCTTTACAGCTAAATGAATAGTTACCTTCCAAAATTACCTCTGACACAAATTGTAAGGCGATGAAAAAGTGTGAAAATCCTGTTTGACCAAGATGTTTTAGTTTGATTATTATTTAAAAATAATAAAAATAATAATAATAAAAATAAAACTAACCTGGCTCTTTGTTGGCAAATGGGTTCTGGGCGATGACCTCTCGCAGAAGGATGATGTCGTGCCTTGCTGAAAAGCGAACTTGTCTCTTCCGTTGGTTTGGTGACGGCCCGGAGAGAGAATAGCCTTTTGAGGAAGAAGGAAGTTTTTAGATTCAAATTATTGTCATTGGAATAACAAACCCATCCTGAAATAAGAGAAATACATATAATATACAACTGGAAAGAAAGCTGTCTCTCTTCCCCTTGTCATTGTTTCCTTTAACACAATCCTCCACTGTCCTCACCTCCTCTCTGACTGCGTCCATCCATCACTACATCTGAAGCTAACCAACAGCACCAAGTCCTCATATTTTTAAAGAAAACATTAATATTTCTTCTTTTTTAAGTTTTACAATTTTATATTTTAAATAACATTCTGTCACCGCTCTCATCATTACTCCTGCCCTTCACTGAGCACAAGTACACCCTGCAGCAACCAGCATAGTGCCGTACAGGAAACGTGACAAACAACCAGTAACGTCCCGGCAGCCATACACAGACCACTGCGGTCGGAACTGAGACATATGCGTCATAGGAGGACGTGAAGCCGGAGGAGGCCTTCTAGCTGGACTCCTGAGAAGGAGCGAATGGATTTCATTTACAGGAGACATTGATACAAGTGTGTGAAGTGCGCTGCCCTGCATCTCACCGTTGCCGATCGGCACCTCCACCACTACCCGTTCCATGTTTTTGTCTGTTGTGCATCCGGGAACCGGCTGACGCGCCGCGTACACGTCGACTCACAAGTACAGGTTCACGTCTGACGTGTAACTCTACTTGGCGGGGAATCAATTCAGAGGGATACTGTAGTACGTCGCCACTGTCTGAGGTGTACTAACAAATGTTAGCCACGGGATGGCGCCAGAGGTTTGATATAAAATTGAGGACCTGCGACGAGGTTGAGTGCGTTTCCAAAATGTAGGAATAATGTCGTAAAATGTTGAAGTAAACACACAAACATTTTGTTTAAACGTATTTATGTGCGATTTAAATTTGGATTTAAAGTTAAAACTGAGGACCCTCGTAAATCACAGGACGTCAGTTATCCAGGAACTAATGTGTACGTATCACCTGTAATGTGGGCGTTAAACTATTGTCTACCTAAAAAAAAAAGGGACAAAATCAGTTTAACGTGGTTTACAAAAATGTCTCCAATGTATAACGAAGACAAATGTCTTCATAAAAAACAAGTGATTCTTTCCACAAGATAAAACAGTTGACAGAGTCAGAACCCATAACTAAGGGCCTAACAAGTGGCCATGCTGTAACAACATGTGGCCCACAGGATCGGCCCCTCTTGAACCCACCGCCAGTGTGTTATCTCAAAGTCCACAAGAGTCCACTGCAGAGACCGTCTCTCAACATACAATAACTGTGATTATACAGTGTAAATTGTGCACATGAAAGAATGGCAATCAAGGCAACTGCAGCTGCCGACACAGCCGCTCCTGCCATCCTCAGAGCTAACCTGTCAGAGCACCGCTAATTATCCAGGACGCTCACAGTTCTCTGCAGAAGTGATCAAAGAATTTTTCCAGTGAGAACATCAGGACAGACAGTCTTTCAGAGGAACCGAAGAAGACGATTCACTGCTGTTACTAGCAGTTTGTTCACCTCCCCACTGTCTTCAAAAAAGCTCATTTTTAAAAGCAGTTTTAGATGCCACGTAACAGAAGATGAACTTAAATGCAGACGTGAGGTTTTACAGTTAAAGAGTAACCATAGTAACGGGGCAGTGACGGCAACTGTTGCCCTTGTTATCACCCTCACGTTTCATGGTAATGTTAACAAGCACTGGTAAAAATAGCGTTAATGTGTCCTTCAATCCTCACACACACACACACACACACATACACAAACACAAACACAGTCCCGTACAGACAGATGTTCAGATGTGGAGGATTCTGGAGTCTGGATGACAGACCTGCCCTTTTCACAAGGTGTTCAGTGAGCGCTGCCCTCGTGTTCTCACAGAGAATGAGTCACACTGAAGATTAGACCTCCCTAACTCTCTTTCCACCCACAGCCACTTTCTTCCTTCCTTAGTTTGACTTCACACACGATCAGGAATCACAGTGCACACACACACTCCTGCTGCAGCGCGCGACCAGATGTTTTTACTTTAAATGTGAAGAAAATCCAGATCACAGTATAAATCAGTACAGAAACAGTTTGAGTTTTTACACTATGTAAGTGTGTTATCTTCAAGCCATGCTGCTGTAGGCCTAGACTGCTGGGGGAACTCCCATCTCATCCCTCAATCTTTAAACAGATTCAAATTATTCATTGTTTTCTCATAACCTTTTTTTTCTAACTTTTACCACTAGTTGGTGCTATTGCTCTCTCAATGTCTTCCATTCTTCTGGCTTCTGGTCCAGATCTGACCCTCCTGTAATTATTAATGATGTCGTTATTTCTTTTGTTTTGTTTGTTCTTCTTCTGAACCTCTGAAGCCGCTGATGAAGTTGTTTTTTCATTTGTGTTGTTTGCATTTTTACAGCTTCTCTGACAGTTCTGTCTGACTGTGGGTCTGTTTATCTACTCCTGCCACCCCCCCCCCTCCTCTCCCTTTGTCCCTGTTTTCTCTCCCCTCTGCTGTCTCCCCTCTTTTCTCTTTCTCTCTTTGCTGGAGCAGATTTCTGAACACCGAGTCTGGACCTGTTGGAGATTTCTCCCCCGCTGCTGCTGATGTGCTCAGAGTCTGGTCTAGTTTGGTTTTCTATAATAATTGTCAAACACATTCTGCTCTACTTTGTCTTAGTAACAGTTGTAAACAGTATTTAAGCATGAAATGATTTGGTACCTTTTTTTTGAAGAGGTTTACTGTGATGAAAAACATTAGATATGGTTCTGAGGGAGATAAGACCTGTGACGTACGTCAGTGTTGACGCTGCTGAATAACTGATTCAACCTCCTAAATTATTCTATAACCAACAGGCATGAACAGATACGTTGTGTTAAACTTTATTGTATTTTACCTTTTTTTCCGTCCCTTTTACATTTGGAAACAATTTTTTTAATGATAACATATATTCTTCCACACAAGTTTGGTAAGCCTGCATTATATTCTATGTGTAGCCTGATAGTTCCTGGTTCTACATGTATGAAATAAATATATTTATAGCTACAAGTATTTCTTTCCTACGCAACAGTGTACTATCACCTGGAGCAAAATATGTGGTGTCAGTAAATAAAATATTTTGACAAACCATTCTGAAATGCACGTGTTGTTAGACATATTTGATGACTTGTCAAAATGCAGCATCAGCATCTCTTCAGAATACAAACAACCTTTATTTATTTATATTTTTTATTTATATTTTCTCTCTATCCCTTGTTAAATAAAACCATGACGTGATACGACTCCCATCATGCTATATATTTTTTTCTATCCACCTGAACCTCCACATTGTAAATAAGGGTTATATACGGTTGCCATGGCGACTATTCTTCTTGGCAACACAGAGTTCGGCTCCATGGTTTGAGTAGCCAGCGCATCCTTGTGCCCTGTGTCTTGGCTGCGCTGAGACACCCTCAGAAAAATGATCAGCATCCATGTCACAATTTTACATCATTAGTTGGAAATTAATGGAGTTAATGCACATATGGTAGGAGTAGGTAAAAAGACAATTACATATATATGTGTATATAAATATATATGTATATATATTTATATATACTGTATATACATATATGCATATATATACATATATGTATATAAATATATGTATATATATACTCATATGTGTATATATATATATATACATATATTTATGTATATATACATATATAAATGATGGGAATAAAAAAGTTCAGCTTCAGGACTCTGTAAAATGTGCTTCGTGATGCTGACTGTCATGACAACAGAATATATAACCGTGTCTGTAGTTGTTGTTGGTGCGTTGATCCATATCTTGTGCAGAAACGTGTGTATGGACCACCACAGAGGAGGAAATGAATGCAAGGGAATTGAATTATTCATGAGAAGCTAATCTATAGCTACAAACACACACCTTGGTTTCCTCATGTTTATTATATATCAGTCGGTGTGTTTTCACAAGAGACGCCACGACATCTGTTCCGTCAGGTAAATACATCCTTTTTTCTGTGTGTGTGTCAAAGACATGAAGAGGCGTGGCCACTACTGAGGCTGCTGCAGTTTAGTGTCATCTCTGACTATCTCAATCCTGGTGGCAGACACTAATGAACCAGAGATGACTGCTATGATCATTCTGTTCTTTAAAGGTCTATAAATACCTGGCTGTAGGTGTGTGGTTAAAGACTCAGTGATCAGTGACAGTCACTACAAAAATGAGAAGAAGAATTACTAAAAGCAACAGTAAAAACAGTGGCGGAGGTTCAGGCACTGAACATGACAGCAGGTGTGAGATAAGAAAAGCTCGCAGGAGAGACGGAACTAATGAGGTGAACTGTGCTGTTGTCTTGGTATTTAAAAATAAATTCTCCAGTTTTCACCCTTCGTCTGTTGTTTGGAGCCGAGCAAATCAGTGAAAGGCTGAAACTTTTAAATATGTATAATATTAAGGAAAGAAAGAAAGCAAGAAAGAAAGAAAGAAAGAAAGAAAGCCTGTTACGAGGCTGCGTTAGAGTCTACATGACGGAGCAGGTGAAGCCGCAGCACTCCTTCAGCAGAGTCAGGCCAGTCTTGGTGAAGGGGGAGGAGGACTGTTGAGCCCTGGACGGCACCTGTCTGCTGGACACACCTGGACACATGAAAATATGTTGTGTTTTTATTGTAGTAGAGTGGAGGAGGGAAAGGATAAGTGTGTAATCTAACAACGTTGACCTGACATTTGACCAAGGTCCTAACATGGGGGGATTATGAAACAATAAAAATAAAAGCAGAAATAAAATGCATTCATGTATTCTCATTTGATAGGGTGAAAGTCGTGTACCTGTCTTCACAGTTTTTCTTGGAGTTTTGGTCTTGAGAAAATCTGCCATTTCTTTATCTTCTTCTTTCTCCCTGTAGAAATAAGGAAATATGGTGTTCACAAGACGTCAATTGACGTTTATTAAAGTTTATTTGGTACTAACTGTAGAAGATGGGTTAGATATTGGTAAAAAAAAAATCCCAAAATGAACTTGTGTTTTTATGTTTCTCTGACTGTAAAGTTACGAACCACTGTCAAACACCAGGTTTTTGTAATGTTAAAAAAATGGTCCACAACAAATGAATCACTTCAAAAACAAACATTTTGGAGCCTGAGCCCATATTTTGAATTTTTAAAATCTGAAATGTAACAATCTTCTAGTTTCAATTTGCTCAGAATGAACTTAATCAGTCTGGAACTTTGGCCTGTTTAGTTGAACACAACTCTGATATACTGGCAGGAATTGAAGAAAGACACAGAGAAAGATCTTCTTCAACAGCTGTATAAAAGAGTATCTTAAACACACACATATATTGTATTCTAGCGGTGAGAACACTTTTCAGTTTAATGACCTTGAGTTCTGTCATTTTTTGTTTTTATTTGTATCTTCCTACTCTCAGCCTAAATCAATCTTCCTACATTTAAAGACTCCTCCATCGGGTCACCTTCAGCTGTAAGTGAAAATCTTCAAACGGATCGATGTTGGTTTGGAAACAACTTACAGTCAACAATGAATTAGAATTAGATACAAAAATACATTGGTGTTTGTCCCAGCATTTCTCTGTGTTCCTGTCACATCAGAATGGATGTGATGGAAGGAGGATGTGAAATAAGGTTTGGAGTTTTTGATCCTCCCTAGCTGCGAGGACAGCAGTGAACATCAAGGAGATGCAAATTGTTTTATCTTTTTTTTTTTTCCAACCCGTGGCAGCTTTTTATCTAGTGCTCGCTCATTCATGCTGTTGCATCTTTAATTGAAATTATTCTTTTAAGTGTGTATTCCTCTAGTCGCAGTCGCACTGAAAATTAGGAAACATTACAGGGATTCGACAGGGCACAGCAGGGCCCCCTTGTGACAATATGCAAAAGAATGATATTAATAATATAAGACAGATTCACACAGGATTAGAAAACAATACGTGACACTCTACTGATCCTGATCATGTCGTGAACAGCTACTGTTTACTGAGAAGAAACGGGGGCGAAACCTGAGTCTTTCAAACTCCACATCATCTACGAGGTAATCTCTTGTCTCCACCAGCTTCTGGATTTGCTGCAGCAGTTCTTCTTCCTTCTGCCGGTCCTCATTAGACTTGTCATTATCTGCAGCACAAAGAAGAAAAACCATCTGGATATCCATTGTTTGTCCCAAATCGCCCGCTTAGCAGTGAACCAGACAAACAAATGGTAGAAGACTGAATATATAAGAATATATCAAAGGATGTAGAATTGGACGAGAATGAACAGTCACCCCACAGAGCTTTATTTTAAAACGATTACTTTTGGTGTATATACATATATATTTATCAGATATACAAAAAACAGTGTCATCTACATACATAAAGAACCTGACTCTTTTACCACTTTCACATAAATAACACATATGTGTGTGACAAATATCAATGTATTTATATATATGTATATACTGTATATATATATGTATGTATGCAGATGACACCTGGTACCTTTGGCTGTGTTTTTCAGTACATATCTTTGTGAAAGAAGCTTTTCTAAAATGAAGATCAGAAAGAAACAGGTCAGGGACGGTAGATGAGTTTTTTAAAAATGTCTCTTTCATGAAACTTAATCTTGTCTATCAAATAATTAAAAGCAACACAAAAGTAAAAAAAAAAAAATAACCATGACCATTTGCGAGAAAAACTAAATTGAAAATTGAAGATGTACCAAGTAAGTAATCATTTGTATCATTTCTACCTGGTATGGACACTAATTTTTGCAGCTCCTTCTTCAGGCGAGTTATTTCTTTGCACAGCTGAATGTCATCCATCCTGCAGGGCAGAACACAAATACATACACATAAACATAAATAAAATATATATAAAAATATAAACGTACGTTAATGTATATATGTATATACTTATCAGCCCTCCAGTCAAATTTTGAACCTAATTTGGCCCGTCATCCAGAAGTTTGACTATGCCTGGCTTTTTTTGAGTTCCACACAGAAAAACCTTGTATTTCCCTCAGGAGGAGACACCATCATTCAAAGTTGAAAACCCAGTGGGTCACACACACACACACTACCAGAGCTTTCACTCTGAGTGTCTGAGTGTCTGACTCCCCTCTTTCAATGACCCTTCAAGAAACCAGATCATTACCGACACCGAGATGGGATGAAAAACCAGCACCACTTCGGCAGAAGCTGTTTAACACAGATCCATGTTAGAAACGGGCTCTGAATGATAAATGTCCACTGCACACATTCATCACCGTCGCATGAACAAATCTCTTTGACGCTCTGCCTTGTCTGTTGTCATGGAAGATGTCCTCCCAAGACCTCACGATCATGTCCTCACCCTGAGACCTGTCCATGAGGTTTGGAATACAAATGAGCTGCTGTATTTATATTCTCTTCTCTCATTTCTTACCACAACACAACTGCCCCTCCTACATTCTTACTGCCACCTTAGCCGTGTTACTGCGCAACCTTCCAGAGAACTAGATGAATAAATATCTGTGTGTCAACCTGCCTGAGCAAAGGTAAAGATGTTCAAATTTTAATGGGGGGGGGGATAATAGGCTGGGGTAAGATGAGGGTCTGCGCTGCATTCTCCTCTGCCAACACTCGGGTCTCGGAGCAGATAGATGGAGCGTTGGTGTGAACTAAGAGAAATTACATGTAAAAGTCATGTATTGTACAAAGGCTAAAATGCTTTTAGCCTTCTCCATGCCATCTATAGGGAAATTGTGGGAATTGCAGAGAAAAAGCAAAAACATAACCACAATACAAACCAATTATATTACAAAGCTAAATGGGCCACATCTGGCCCTCGGGCCTTAGTTTTCCCATGACTAGTTTAAAGAATAATGTGGGTTTGACAGAAAACTATAGTTAGTTTAAAAAAAACCATTGAATTAAGATTATTGCAAAAATATTCTCCTGAAATTATACATACATTTATTATTACACATATTTTAGGTTCAATGAGGCTGCATTGTTTTTGTTTCTTTTGTTTGTTTTTAAACTGAATTGTCACAGTTTTACCTGTAACCATGGAAAAACCACTCCATGTTAATATTCGCAGACAGGTCACAGAGTTAGCTGAAGCATCATCTGATCTTAGGTTGACATTGTTCACATTAGCCTACAAACCACCGCTGCCGATCGAGAGTTAAAGAGGCCGGTGATGTTTTTATTGTTTTGCTGTTAGCAAGCAAGCTAAAAATAAAATAAAATAATCCACAAAATCAAATAATAACTATATCTCTCTGGCCACTGCTCAGGTGTGGACCACTCACATATATCTGAGCTCTGACTCCCTCCGAACCAGGACATCTCTGATCCTCTCGATCTTCAGGAGTTCCCCCTCGATGTCGTCCACAGTGATGGTGGAGTCTGCCATGGAAACCACGTCCTCCTCTAGAGGAGAAGAAGAGAGGAGGTGTGACCCCTGGCCAACATGAAGGTCAATGAACTCTCTCTATCTAGATCAGTGTTTCCCAAACTTTAATAGACAATAGACATTATTCGTAAACTCCTGGGAAACATGATGTGAGACATCTCTTGCGACCCACCTGAGGGCTGCGACCCAGTCTTTGGGAAACAATAATGTAGATAATGAACCAAACCTTTGTTCAACCAAATGAACAAAGAACCATCCACACACACACTTTCACATCTATGGTCATTTCAGAGTGTCTGAACCTAATACTCAGATGCGGGATTTCCCAAGATGTGTGCACGAGCTGCCACTAGGGGGTGTGCGAGATAAAACGCGATGGCCGTCGGAGTGGGTTTTTTTTTTTTATGGGATTTTTCCACACAATAAGGTCGTGTAAAGAAATATGTCCTTTGTAAAATTTGAAATAAAAAGATGACATTTTAATTAATAAATAAGTGCATGCCGTAAAAATTATGTAATCTGATTTATAATATTTATAAGAAATCACGTTGCCTTTTTTTTCTTTATTCGAAGGTCTGGGTAATTGCAGGTCCATCAACCCATCTGGGAAATAAAAGGCAGTGAAAGGCCAGACATGTTTGCCAACCTCTGCTCTAATGAGCACGTGTTGCTGCTGTTGGTGTGCACGCACACACACACAGAAACTTGGTTTTGCATAAGAGCTGGGCGCAGCTATTGAATGAAAACACCCGTACATGATGGCATGGTTTTGCAGGGCGTCATCGTACACTGCTGCTAACAGCGTGCTGCAGCAGAGACTCTCTGGGACAGGTTATTCTGCCACTCAGCAGTTATGACTCATCTCTGGAAAATGTTCGCTCTTTTACACATTGTCCATTCTCACCGTCTGGTTTGGGTTTCTTTTTACTCCCCTCTCCTTATTTTACTTCACATCTCTGCTACACCATTCCCTTTTTTTTCTGTCCCCTCTGAGATGTGAATTACATAATGAGCTCAATTTACTGGCTTTGCTTCAACTCTTCCAGTGGCACGCTGTGCTCCAGCCTAATGAGCTGGGGCAGTGCACTGACAGGAAGAGCAGCCGGATGAGACTCCAGGAGGTTAGGGTTTAAGAGGGGAGGATGGAGGGTGAGGAGAAATGGACAGCTAGAGGAAAGTGAGGAAAAAAGAGGAGGGAAGAAGCAAAGACTTCAATGAAAAAGGAGGAGGACTTTTTAGGACTTTTTAAGATTCACGTCGACGGTTAATGGACTTCATATTTCCACAGTTTTCAGCCAAGAACAGAGGAGGAGAAAACTGTTGATCAACGGATGAACGTTCATTAATACAAATACTATTATTTTTACAGTATATGTTGATTGCTATGCTATTATTAATATTACTGTTATTTTAGGTTGCTGGTTCTAATCCTAACTTCAGTAGAGCTGTGGTATTTTGAAGCACACAAACTACCCCCCACCCCTCCCAAAAAAAGAGAGAGAGAGAGTGAGAGAGAGAGCATTGTTTTTGTTTTGTAATTTCAATGTTCAGTGAAAAATATATGAAAAATTCAAACATATGTGGTTCACTGTAGCTCGGTGGGTCAGGAGTTAGACACCGTTTTATCAACTGTAAATACATGAAGTGGTCATTAAATGGTTAAGCAAAGGCATTATGGGTAAGTCAAAGGATCAACATCACCGTGATGAGAAGTGATGCTGTGATGGAAGCACTTCATTAAATAAATGAAACAGCTGTTAGTGTTAACACTCATCGATTCTTATCCATCAACTCAAGGAGCATCAACACACACACGCACACTCTGTCAACACACACACTCACACACAAGAAAAAATAAATAAAAAATAAACACCTGTGGATTAGATTCCATTTAGATTCCGTGTCTTTACTGCATAAAGAAACAGAAACCCATTTTTCTGGCTATTTGTGTTTGAGAAACTTCAAAATAAAATAATAAAATAAAACCAAACCTGTTCAACCAAGAGAAGATCACGCAGTTGAATATCTGCTGCTGATAGAGACAGTTGTTAAAGCCTAACTGTGTAGCGTATTAATGTAGTGGATAATGATGCTCAAACCAACAGAAGGTTAACCTGCTGGGTATTATTTTACTGACAGACAATTAACTTCACCAGGCTCACCCACAGCAAAGGAACAAATATAGAAATAAGATAAAAAAAAAACAAACCCCACATCAAACCACTGCAGTGTTGGTGGCTCACCTGGTTCGCCGGTGTCTTTGCTCCATTCAGTGCGCTCCAGTGAACCATACTGATGAGAAGATCCTCGCTTCTTCTCCATCGGTCCGGCAGCAGAGGCAGCTCTCTCTGTCTCCACTTCCTCTCCTACAGATGCAGATGGCGGGGAAACTGGAGCCTCAGGGAGGGTCTCGGCGTCTGTTTGTTGATGCCGTTCACTGAGTCATCACCAGTCAGTCACCAACCTGCAGAGGCAGAGAGATGGAGATACCCCCACCGCCACCAACACCATCTACACCAGCAGCAGCAGCAGCAGCAGCAGCATTCTCTTACTCCAGCTCAGGCAGGTGTCAGTGTGCCGTGGGTAAAAGGAAAGCAGACTAGTGCCATCTGGTGGCCAGCAGGTGAAGTCACCAAAAGGAAGAGCTAACTCATTGCAGCTCGTCAGGACAAATCTGCATCTAAAAAAAAAAACAAAACACTTTTTTTCCCAAAACAAACATTTTATTACACAATTAAATCTTATATTTACAAAAAAGATTCAATGTCCATGGTATGAAACTGTGCAAAACTCATGATTTCACTCTCCTGCTGTAGAATAGACAGACGTGGGCTGTGGAGGCACAGCCGAAGTAACTGCCAAACAATCACAGTCAATGTGATTTTTTTTTCAAACCATATGACAGCAAATATACCTTTATATTTTACTTGAATAACTAACAACAATTCACCAATACAGTAAGACTGCGGCGCCTTAAAGACGAACCTTTGAGACAGTAACTCCTTGTACATTCAGGTCTGTAACCACGAGAATGTGTAAAGAGTCTGGCTGTTCGGGTAGAAACAGATCAAAAATGATGGAAAAAAAAACATCCGAGACGTTTACTGACAAGTTTCACTTTCAAATATCGCCGACCTACGCTCTTGGTCTACGACAGTATTGTCCACAGAGCTGAAGACACGTGGTGTCTGGGCAGGACTTCTTGCACGTTGTTCTCACCTCTACAGACGTTGTGGTCTTCTGTTGTTCCCGTCACTAAGTTTGAAGATGATAAATATACTTCTACTTTTACTATCTACGAGCCACAGCAACAGGAAATGACTTTTTGTTCTTTTGCATTTTGTGAGCAAAAAAAAAAAGAGCTTTGATCGCACAAGTTCTGCAACTATCAGAGGGCTGTAGTTGGTAAATGCAGGTGTGCCTGTATCTCTGCATTCCCCTGTGGTTAATGAACACTCCTCTGTGTGTGTGTGTACTTGTTTATGTAAGCAGCAAATAGTAGTGTGTCGAAAAGAAAAAAAAAGAAATACCAACATTTTCCAGTTCCACATGCTGCCAATAATCTGCAGATTAAATTCTGACGACAAAAAAACTGATCACCAGTGTCGACCGTCGTCTTCTACAGCTTCAGCTTCAGCTTTCTCAGTCTTGTGGCGACTGGGAGCCAATCCCAGCAGTCCATAAAAAGACCACCAGTGAACTAACCGCTCCTCCACTGTGTGGCGCTGATAAAGTTCATGTATGTGTTAATCCAGGTGAGTCCACTGTCTGTGTTGTTTCCAGCCTGAAGCTTCTTCACACACTCGTCGCTCACGTCCTGGATCTGGTTTCAGGACTATAACTCAGACCTCTGGTCAACGTTCCCGGGATTGAAACACAGCGTGGTTTTGCTTCAAGTGTCGGCGTTGTGTCAGTTTATGATTCCAGCAAACGTGTTGATGGGGAGAGGGAGCCCTTTGATCATGTATTTGCTCAGTCCAGCGTTCGTCTCCTCCCCGACGGTGAACTTGGATCGAATGGTTTTCTGGACGTAGTAGCCGGGGTCGAGGCACGGGGAGATCTCCATGCTACAAAAGAATAACGACCCAAAATAAAGCAGGTAACAGTTCAACTGTGTAACAATTTTGATGTCTTTGAATTAAATAAAGGAACAGAGATGATGCCTAAAATAAAACGTTTCCCAGGAACTATTTAAGTCACAGGTTTTTGTTTCTCTTTCCAACAACGGAGACAGTTATTTGCAGTTATCTTCATCCGACAAAACCCTACTGTAGTGTTCCACTTATACAACCTGTGGTGAATTAACAAACTCCGTCACGGTCGTCCTTACCACTGCACACCAGCATATGTCCTCTGTGAGTCCACTGTGACGGTGAAAGATCGACCCTCCTTGGCGTCAATTTTGATGTTGTTTGTCCGAATCTTGGATTCCTGTCGATTGAAAATGTTTAATATTTTTTTTATTTTATTAAATATATAGATTTAATAATAATAAAATATATATATTTTTTATAGATTTCTAACAATATGCACCAAGTTTTTTTAATTTTATTAAATATATATATATATATTTAATAATAATAATATATATATATTATAGATTTCTAACAATATGCACCAAGTAAATTTAATCTGTTGTTCAAACCTACCATGTGGCTGTTCTTAGTTTTGGTTGGAGGCTCATTCATGGTTACAGTCAAACAGTTTAGATCTGCGTGAGAGATGAAGAAAAAAATGTCGTTAGCGTTTGAAACTTTCAAAAGGAAATGTGTTGCCGGACTGAAAGTGTCTGTCGTTGGGTGAGGCTACACTGAACCTTCTGCTTCACTGGTGGGGATGGCATTGATCTGAACGCCCGACGTTCTGCAGGAGACGCCTTTGTCGATGTCCGTGCCTCTCAACGTCACCTGAAAACACAAACAACAAACCTTCACACTCACACCTAATACATGACCAACCATCTTGGAAGAAAGAAAATGCATTCAGCTTCATATAAAAGAGCATGACGTCACCTTTTTATAACTCATGGAGATCATGGCTCCACATGTTTCACCGGCGTTTCGTCTAGGTTTTTCTGCCGAAACGATATGAATGTTTACGTACAGGAATTACAGTTTGTTTTACAGGAAAACAAGAGTAGGAATATTGAAAAAACAATCACCTCGAACTGATGCTGAGATTTTTTTGAACTCAGGAAACTCCACTTCTAGATGAGTGAGGAACACCTCCTCCACTGAATCCTTGATTTTACCTCGGAATGTGAGCTGTGGACACAAAACAAAAGACAGATGCTGTGTTTCAATCCTTAAACATTAATAACGTTCTATCTATCGATCTATTTTTAGGTTAAAGCTCCCGTAAAGATGAGAGAAAACACATAGAAACCAAAGACAACTCACTGTACCTTAACAAAATAGATGCTGAAGAAGACAGGCTGCTGGCCAGTTCGGACGTAATAAGATATGACATCAGAGGTGAAGGGCTCCTTAGGTCTGCCTGGATTGGCTTGTTGCTGTTGACAGTAGAACTCATGTAAATACAACCTGACCCGCCACTACATCTTGCTTAGATGACAACATGTTATGAGTATAATTGATTGGACAATAAAGAAATGTTGAGTCTTGAGAATGGACAAAAATGAGCAGAGGAGGGAAACACTGTGGTCGATCAGTTTGAACAGCGTTATAATTATGATGATCTCTTCAGGCCTCTATTACCATCTTTGCCAGTTTGGGGATCATGGAGCCTAAACCTCTGATGTTACAGTTGTACCATGGGTCCACCATGCTCAAGTACGAACCAAGAGTGCAGGGATTTTCCTTCAACTGACTCACAGGCTGGTTAACCTACACAATGGGGAACAATGAAACAGAACAAAGAACACATCAAGAACGAGAGGGAAAGGTGCTAAACCAAAGATCGTCATCGTTTCAGAACAAAAACAACAATCGTAAACCGTAAAAAAAAAAAGTGAGTATTTGATCACATGATTAAAAATACATGTCTTTATAATAAGATAAAATAATAGCTGAAATATATATTATTATAAGCTACAGTACATTTCCTAATGTAAAAAAATGAATAAAACAGTTTCATTTCTTCTACGTCGTCTGAATCAAACCACAAAGGTTCAAAACCTCTGATGTGTTGACTTTCACAACGTAGCTGTGACCGGTTGAAAGGAGGAAGTTTTCTCACCTTTACAGACGATATGTGAGCTGTAGCCTTGCAAACAGGGATGTAGTAAAACTGCAGGTTGACTTTCATTGTGAGGAACAGTCGCCGTGCTTCCCTTTTCCTGGAGATGTGTGAAACGTTTGTAACGTAAGACGAAACAGAGCAGTTTGACCACAAAGAAAAGGCTGGACACTTCTACTGTGGGTACTGAATCAATATATACCATGTATATAT